ATGAAACAACCTCACTTTGTTTTATTAATTCGTGGGAGGTGGGTGTTGCTGGCTGGCCAGCATTTCTTGCCCGTCCCTAGTTGCCCATGAGAAGATGGTAGTGAGCTGCCTTCTTGAACCGCTGCAATCCTCCTGTGGGTTGACACACAATGCCATTAGGGAGGGAATCCAGCATTTTGACCCAGCGACAGTGAAGGAACGGCGATATATTTCCAAGTCAGGATGGTGAGTGACTTGGAGGGGAACTTGAAGATGGTGGTGTTCCTATATGTCTGCTGCCCTTGTCCTTCTAGATGGAAGTGGTCCTGGGTTTGGAAGGTGCTATCTGAGGATTTTTGGTGAATTTTTGCAGTGCATCTTGTAGATATTACATACTGCTGCTACTGAGCATCGGTGATGATGGGAGTGGATGCTTGTAGTATAAATTAGGAATCCCATGTGGGTCAGTGGATGTTGGTCAATGCAATGACTATCTATCTTTAATCTATTTCTAAATGAACTGATCATAGTTTAAAAAAAGAGTATCATAGCACTGTATGACATGACCCTCCGAGCAATCAATTTTCACATAATTATATCAGAAACCCAATTACATCAGAAACCAGGTTCCAAGTTTATTATTTTAAAAGAATGAATTAGAATGGGTGAGTAAATAATTGAGATAAATGGATTTGGGGGGCTGAATTGTTAACATTTAAGTGAAAAGCAAATGGGACACTTTTTAATGAAATAATAGTTCACATTCAGCACAAGTATATAACTTTAGATCAATTAGCTCAGATGAAATAAGCATGATCCTAAATGGCTGACAAGCAAAGCAAAAATGAAATAGTGGAAAAAGTGACCTCTACAAATCCTTGAGTGAGAAATGAGAAGGCACAGACTGTGATGAACATAAATATATATAGAAACAAATTAAAAATTTGATCATAAGAATTAAGACATTGAAAAAAACACACACGGTAAATGTAGAACAAAATTTCACAGTACCACAGTAGCAAGAATGGAAGTAAAAGTTCTAAAAGATGCAAATTGACTTGAATCTGATAAGTGAGCGATATTGAGTATTCTGAATGGACTGCTTTCTCAAAGTATTCAAAGGAGACGTTATGAATAACAGTCTGCTGAAAAGAGTGTGTCTCAATATACATATTATGTGTCTTTTCATGGAATTTAAATCAAAATATTGAGACTAGCAAGAAGATTTACAATATGCCGACAGTCATTATGTTGAACTCAGTGGCCACTAGGAAAGTACTGGTAGATTATAATCAGGCTATCATAATGGCCATAATCAAAAAAGAGTAACAAAATAGATGCAAGCAACCAAACACCTAATAATCTTCCATGCAAAATAACTAAAACATTTTGTGGGAATGATTTGGGGATTATTGAATGCAACATTCAGGATTATGTACACAACAACTTAGTAAGTAGCTGTCCCAACTGACCAGATTTCATTTAATGACAATTTAGGGACCTAGGAAGTATTACCAAACAAAGGGTTGGAGGTATATAGTTCCTTGGAAGTCGAGTTGCAGGTAGACGTTGTGGTGAAGAAGGTGTTTGGCATGCTTGCCTTCATTGGTCAAAACATTGAGTATAGGAATTGGGACATCATGTTGCGGCTGTGCAGGACATTGGCGAGGCCACTTTTAGAATACTGTGTACAATTCTGGTCGCCCTTCTATAGGAAGGATATTGTTAAACATGAGAGGGTGTAGAAAAGATTGATAAGAGTGTTGCTGGGACTGGAGCTTTTGAGTTATAGGGTGAGGCTGAGTAGGCTGAGGGATTTTCTCTGGAGCATTAGAGGCTGAGGGGTGACCTTCTCGAGGTTAATAAAATCATGAGGATGTGAATAGGGTGTATAAACAAGGTCTTCTTCCTAGACAGGGTGAGTCCAAAACTAAAGGGCGTAAGATTTCGGTGAGAGGGGAAAGAGTTAACTTTTTCATGGTAACTTTTTCATGCAGAGGGTGGTGCCTGTATGAAATGAGCTACCAGATGAAGTTGTGAAGGCAGGTACAATTACAACAATTAAAGGGCAACTGAATGGGTATATGAATAGGAAGTGTTTAGAGAGATGTGGGCCAAATGCTGGCAAAAGGGACTAGGTAAAGATTGGGATGTCCAGTTGACGCATACAGTTTGGACCAATAGGTCTTTTTCCATGCTGTATGACCCTTTGACTCTATGAACTCCAGTTCACTGCAGTAAACTATACATGCATAGTAAAAGTACTTAAAATAATTTAATAACTTTTTTTCTTTATATCTTTAAATTTAAAGCACGGGTTCTCAGGGAAAGATTTGGTTATGAATAGGAAATTAGAGGAAAGAAGTGATCAGTGGGCTAATGTCATGGTGGGTTCAGAGTGAAGTACTGTCCTCTGTGTGTCCCAGAGCTCGGTTTCACTACCACTATCATTTATATGTGGAATAAACACAAAGGGGTGATGACGGTAATGCTATGGTCATTGAACTAGTAATCCAGAGACTCAGCTATTGTTCTGAGAACTTGCGTTCAATTTTTTAAAAAATCTAATCTTAAATGATGATTGTAAATTGATTATTGTAAAAACTCATTTGGTTCATTAATGTGCTTTAGGAAAGGAAAATTCAGTTGTATCAATCGCTAATAAGTCTCAAAAAGGAATGAAACCAGCCAGATTGCTTGGCATCAATTAAGGCACCAGAAATGGCAATGCAAACTAAGCCCTGTTGACCCTGTAATGTCCTCCCCACCAGCATCAGGGGCTGGTGCCAGAATTGGGAGCCGGCTCACAGATTAGTCTAGCACAGCCTGATGTAGTCATACTCAGGGAATCATACCTTCATACTCCACGTCCTGGTCAACCCCATCATCATCCTCAGGAATGATCTGCCCCACCAGCTGGACAGACTGAGCAGAGATGGCAGCACAGTGATGTTCATTTGGGAGGGAACAATCCTGGGAGTTCTCAACATTAACTCTGGACCCTATGACATCTCATGGCATCATGTCAAACAAATGCAAGGAAACATCCTGCTGGTTATCATTGATTACCTCCCCTCTGCTTGGTGGACCCTTCTGGCTGCTCAGGGTGCAGATTGTACTCTAATTGGGTAAATTCAGTGTCCATCAATAAGAATGGTATGGCAGCATTACTATTGACAGAGCTGGCTGAGACCTTGAGATGACTGCTGGACTTGATCTGCGGCAGCTGGCAAAGGATCCAACAAGGGGAAGGTACTTCTTTTGTCTATGTCAGTATCATTAAGAGTGATCACCACACAATCCTTGTGGATATAAAGTCCCATTTTCACACAGAGGATACTAGCCATTATGTTAATATAGCACAATCACCATGCTAAATGGGATAGACTTTGAACAAACCAAACTATTCGTCTAGGAGATGTTCCTTGGGGCAGTATCCTTGGCCCAACTAACTTCAGCTGCTTCATCAATGACCTTCCCTCCTCCATAAGGTCAGAAGTGGGATGTTCATGGATGATTGCACAATATTCACTATTCATAACTGAAGCAGTCAGAGTCCAAGTACAGCAAGACCTTAATAATCTCCAGATTTGGACTGTTGGTGCAAGTAACTTTCACGCCACTCAAATGCCAGGCAATGATCATCTCCAACAAGAGAAAATCTCAAAATAATGACATTCAATGACATCACCATTGATGAATCCCCAGAATCAACACTCTGGGGTTACTATTGACCAGGGCGGCACGATGGTTAGCACTGCTGCCTCACAGTGCTGGGGACCTGGGCTCGATTCCAGCCTTGGGTGACTGTCTCTGTTAGAGTTTGCACGTCTGCATCACCCGGGTGCTCCAGTTTCCTCCCACAGTACAAAGATGTGCAAGTTAGGTGGATTAACTATGGTGAAATGCAGGGTAATGGGGATAGGGTGGGGAGGTGGGATGCTCTTCAGAGGGTTGGTGCAGACTTGATGGGCCTCTTTCTGCACTGTAGGGATTGTATGAGAAACTGAACTGGACTGACCATATAAATACAATAGCTACAAGAGCAAGCCAGGAACTGGAAATCCTGCAGTGATATACTCACCTCCTGACTCCCAAAGCTTATACACAGTCAAGAGGCACAAGTCAGGAGTGTGATGGATTCGTCCCCATTTGACTGCATGAGTGCAGTTCCAACAACATTCAAGAAGCTTGACATCATTAAGGACAAAACAGCCAATTTGATTGGCACCACATCCACTGGCGTCAGCAGATTCATGGGAATACCACTACTTGCGTGTTCCCCTCCAAGCCACACTCCATCACTGTTCCTTCAGTGTCACTTGGACTAAATCCCGGAATTCTCTCCCCAAACATCAAATGACTGCAGCATTTCAAGAAGACAGCTCACCACCTTCTCAGGGGCAGCAAGGGGTGGGCAATAATGCTGACTCAGACAGTAATGCCCACATTGCATGAAATCAATATAAATTGTGCAAACAACTCAAGTGATGCATTCAATTTTGTTTTGTTGTGCCAAGTCAATAACCATGGGAGAAGGAATAAGCTGAACAAAAAGGAGTATGTTAAGCTAGTTTTATTAATCAAACTTTTGAGTGAATTTGTGGAAGGTCAGAGCTAAAACTCGAGCTAACTTTTCCATTTGAATAGTTTTTTTATGCTTTGCTTCAATTTCAACAAAACCTTGAAGCTTTTTAGGTTGCTTGAAATTCAGTGAAGAGATGCTCCCCCTTGGATTAACATTGTTTTATTGCCGACTTGCTTTAAGTGGTAAAGATCTGCACTTTGTGGTGTTGAGTCATGCCATTTATTGTAAAAGTGATGTGTTTGCAATGAAGTCACAATAATTATCAAATCAATGTCTCCTGTTTTTAAATTGATAGCATACATGTGCCAAAATGAAATAGAATTGTCACCTATAATAATCATTGTGCAGATAGTTTTTATTTTTGATTGTCTTTTCATTATGTGATTAAGAAGCTTTTCTGAATTTTGCTAAACCTTATTTTTCCTTCATATAGGTTTCTGCTTCTGCTGTAGCTTCATGTCGGTATATCTATATGGTTTATCCAATGGAAATGATTCTATGAGCTCCCTTCACATATCCATTGGTGGTCTTCCAGTTATAGCGTCCATGACCAAAACAAGAGATTCACGTTTTCACCTGAAATGGAAGACTATACTAGCAGCAATCATAGTTCTTTTCGTATTATACATGCTGTATTTTCACAAAAGTTCCCCAAATAGCCCTTATCCACGAAATATCCACAACTGGCCGATTGATAATTTTCCAAAGGACAGATACAATGACACGTACCCACTTTCACCCCCGCAGAAGACCCTGGAAGGCATCCGATACCGTATCGGGCTGATTGCTGACCTGGACACTAACTCAAAGAACGAATTGAACAGTGACACTTGGTTTAGTTACCTAAAGAAAGGCTACTTGATATTATCAAACAGTGGTGACAAAGTAACTCTCGAATGGGACAAAAATGAGTCCATTCTCAAAACTCATTTGTCAGAAAAAGGACGTGGCATGGAATTGTCGGAACTCATAGCATTTAATGGAAAGCTTTACACTGTGGATGATAGGACAGGTGTCGTGTATGATATTGATGGTGATAAGGCAGTCCCTTGGGTAATTCTATCAGATGGAGATGGAACTGTTGAGAAAGGTACCAAAGTAATTTATTCTATCTTTAATTTGCACAAATAATTTCTGCTAGTCTTGTGGATTGTTGTAGCTTGTCAATCACTATGAATCTCAATTAACATGGAGTCATAACAAATGTATTGAGATATGATGGGGGAGAAAGGTTATTCTTTCTGAAGAGGTTATTACTGTACTATTTAATCATGGATTTTTTTCAATTTTGATGAACTAAAATTATTAACATTTTTGTTCCTTCTGAGAGGATGGGAAGGTGATCTGCTCCCAGTTTATTGACATTGATGATACAACTAGCCCTTGACTTTGAAATGTTACCGTGAGTGTATGGAGGTGCTGTTTTTTTTTCCCCCTCATACTCTGGTTGCCTCCCAGAATTACTTACACAACATATTGGAGTTGTGTACACCATTGGTATCAAAATTATTTCTTATCCGAACATGAAAATAATATGGAGGGAGGAGGAGTTATTCTTCCATAGGTGCTTTATTGAACCACTGTTTGAGGCAGATTGGTTAAAAATACTGAAACCAAATCTTTCTCACTGCAGTTGTATAACAGTAATACCTTGATAACAGTGGTAGGAGGATTGCAGAACTCCACATATACTTGAAGTGGATAACATGAGCGTATCCTCTAACTCAGGATACCACCCCTGAATAATTGATGTTCTATTTTCAGTTAAATTCTGTTTTACTGAATTATATCAATAAAGTAATGTGTATATCTTACATAAAAATAACCGAATATACACAAGTCAGTCAGAATCTGTAAAGCAAAGGAAAAGCTGATGCTTCAGATGTATGCTCTTAATCCAGAACATTACTTGTGGAATACCTTTGCTATGACTCTACATTTGTTCTGCTATTCCTTAAGGTTTCAAAGCTGAATGGTTGGCAGTAAAAGACGAGCACCTTTATGTGGGTGGACTCGGTAAGGAATGGACTACCACCACAGGAGAGGTAGTCAATGAAAATCCAGAGTGGGTGAAAGTTATTGGTTACAAAGGTGATGTAAATCATGAAAATTGGGTGTCTCACTACAATGCACTCCGCACAGCTGCTGGAATTAAAGCCCCAGGTAAGAAACATTTGGAAAAGGAAAAGTGAATAAATGCATATACATGAAGAAAATTTGTCTTATACTTAGATATCCACGCTGTCTGCCTCCATGCGTAAATCCTTGGTCCCTAATCAGCCCTACCCTATCCCTTTTACGACCATTTTACTATTTAAGTGTCTACTGAAGACTTTGGGATTCCCCATTATGTTAGCTGCCAGTCTTTTTCCATATTCCCTCTTCGTGTTTCTAATTTACTTTTTCAATTCCCTTCTGAGCGCTTTGTATTTAGCCTGGCTGTCAGTTGTTTTTTTAACCTGACACTGTCATTAGCACATTTTCTTCTTTAGCTTAATTTCTATCTCCTTTTCATCCTGAGAGCTCTGGATTAGTTTGCCCTGCCTTACCTTTTGAGGAAATATAGTTTGAATGTATCCAAACTCTCTCTGAACACAGTCCATCGTTCAGCTACAGATTTTCCCGGCAACCTTTGGTGCTAGTCTCTGCAGTCCAGCTCCATTTTGGCTCCATTGAAGTCATCTCTTATCCCAGTTAATACTTCATACTCTGGATTGTTCAACCTTATGATATAATGATTAGTATTCACTAAATGTTCCTTTTATTTTGAAACTTCCTTTAAAACCTAGTGCTAAGCCAAGGTACACAAAATCTGGAGGAAAAAATTGTAAAAATATGATGGTTTAGTGTTCATGTCTTTATTTTCCAAAAATATCTTAGTTGCATTTCATATTTTGTAATATTGTCAAACTTAAATTTCTATCAATGTGGTGAAATATTCATTAGAACCCTCAAGATTACAACTTCCATCTTTAGATCGCTGGCATCCTATGTTGCCAAGGCCAATGGTTTCCCTCACAACCATTTGTTTTGTTTAATAAACTATTAGTCAATCCTATCCCTAACAACACATGACGTCTCTTTGATTGTGCTTTAAAATCAGATCATGATTTTCTCAAATTCTCACCTCCACTACAATTTGTTTTGTCGAGTAAAGCCCGTTGGCATTGCTTGCCCTGGAATTATTGTCACATACACTTTGGATACCAAATGCTTTGGCTTTACTTTACTGCTTCATACTGGAAATGTACACGTTAGAGTTGTGAAGACCCCCCCCAGTATTCCTGGAACTGATTAATACAATTAATAGAACAGGGTAACCAACTGGTAATTGCATTGATCAGTTAATTGATTGATCTCTTTGAAATTACACCAGTGAACCGAATAATCAAAAACATTTTCATTTTACTGATTACTACATTACTTTAAAAGCTGTAGCTTCAATTATTGGGTTTAAGAGCAGCCAAGTAATACAGGTGGTGGTTATCATCTTTCATTTGGTTATCGTCTTTCATGTTGTCAAATGCATCTTTCTCAATGCCATTCATTTGTGATCATGCTATATCTTCACCATGGAAGGGTATGCTACAGGAGCAGATTAACTCGATAATTTGAATTTACTGTATTAACACTGTAGCTTCAGTCTGCCTCAGAAGGGTCACTTAAACTATTAGGAGCCAATTACTTGATGCTGCCTTTGTCACCAGCATTAAACATCTACAGCACTCCAAATTAAGTCTATTAAGTAGAATTACAGTGTATTTTGTCTTTTTTATCTTTGGCTAACCAAAATTTGAAAATAGAATTTTTGGTAGTTTTGTTGCTTTTGGGCTGTCATCATATAGCTGAAGTCAGGAGGGTGCTTTTGAAAAAAAGTTGTTTATACCATGGTGTGTTTGCTTGTTGGTATTCCATGTGCTACTTCATTAATATGAGAAAATTTTTTATATACTGTCTGAAGTGCAGTTTTCATTTAAGTGCAGTTTGGCAAGTTCTTTATAAAAGTCATAGAGACGTACAACACGGAAACAGACCCTTTGGTCCAAATCGTTGTGCCAACCAGACGTCCCAAACAGGCCGAGTCCAACTTGCCAGCATTTGGCCCATATCCCTGTAAACCCTTCCCATTCATAGAACATAGAACATAGAACATAGAACAGTACAGCACAGTACAGGCCCTTCGGCCCACAATGTTGTGCCGAACTTTTACCCAAAACCTAAGGTCTATCTAACCTCCACCACTACCTTATTCTATCATCCATATGCCTATCTAATTTACCCATCCAGATGCCTTTTAAATGCTGTAGCTGGACCAGCCTCCACCACTTGCTCTGGCAGCTCATTCCATACACACACTACCCTCTGTGTGAAAGAATTGCCCCTTAGGTCCCTTTTAAATTTTTCCTCTCTCACCCTAAACCTATGCCCTGTAATTTTGGACTCCCCTACCCTGGGGAAAATACCCTTGCTATTCACCCTATCCATGCCCCTCATGATTTTATAAAGCTCTGTAAGGTCATCTTTCAGTCTCTGACACTCCAGGGAAAATAGCCCCAGCCCATTCAGCCTCTCCCTATAGCTCAAATCCTCCAACCTTGGCAACATCCTAGTAAATCTTTACTGAAACCTTTCAAGTTTCACAAAATCTTTCTTACAGCAGGGAGATGGCTTGAATGTAATTAAATATTCATGATGTGAATTACCATGTCTGATAATTAAATTTTTGTATTATTATTTAGGATACCTCATTCATGAATCTGCAGCCTGGAGTGATCGACTGCAGCGCTGGTTTTTCCTGCCACGGCGAGCAAGCAGTGAGCGCTATAATGAAAAAGACGATGAACACAAAGGAACAAATCTTATTATTAAATGTACTCAAGATTTTAAGGAGGTCTTGGTGAGCAAGATTGGAGTGGTTAACCCGACACATGGATTCTCCTCCTTTAAGTTCATTCCAGATACAGACGATCAAATCATTGTGTCGCTGAAATCGGAGGAAGATAATGGGAAAATAGCAACTTATATAATGGCTTTTACTTTAGATGGACGCTTTCTTTTAGAGGAAACAAAAGTAGGGGATATAAAATATGAAGGGATAGAATTTATATAAGTCGTTTCACAGTCAAGTGCACAGATCTGGATTAAAGTACTACTGTTTCCAAGAATTCTCAGAAGGGCAGTTTCCCAAATTGGTATCATCATTTAAAATCATTCTTGGTTGCCATTAATTGAAGTAGTGTTCTTTTGTAATACCCTCTTCTTTGTTTACATGTCAAAAACTGAATACAAGGTATTGCAAGAATTGCACTTTCCTTCTGCTTTTTTCTTCAAACAACTAATTTTGCTGAAATTATTGAACATTTACAGGGGATGTTACTCATGCTTATGAGGTGTAAAGTCTACAGTCAATCAAGAAATTGTGCATGTCCTTTTTTTTAAATTAAATCAATATTGGTTCAATTTGTGAACTTATTGACTTCGCAGTTACTGAATTTGCATAGCTTAGAACTTGAAAGTTCTAAGAGGGATAGGGATAGGATATTGAAGTCATTACCAGGATAGAATTTGGTCGATATCACTGACTTTTTAAAAGATATCCAAAACTTAACTGGCACAAGTGGTCTTTAAGCGGCAACTAATTCTGCTGTATGCATGAGTACTTCTTCCTCGGAGTACAACTGTGGAGCTTTGTTTTGAGGAGGCAGACAATTGCCAAGTACACTGGTGTATAATTCCTGCTGGGTTGCTCTGGTTTTTCCTGCACAATTCCCGCAAAATTGGACAAACTTGTACAAAGGATTGCTGAATTTCAAGCACAAGTTGCAAACAGCACAAATTGAATTTCCATGTTTTTTTTTTGCACTGTTTTAAAGTAAGCCACATTGGAAGTCATCCCTGACCACAAAGCTGGTATGAGTCCAGGATCAAATTAATCACAGTGGCAAGTTTCTGTGAACTGTGACCATTTTCAGCCCTATGAGGAGACCATATAAAGCAGTTGTTTTCTCGGCATGGGGTACTAATGTACATTATAAAACAATTTTAAAGATTAGATTGTTAATTTTCTAGAGTGTGCCAATGAAACTGGTAAATGCATCTGACTAGGTTTTTTTAAAGCCATTCTCACCTACTAAAATGAGTTTTATTTACAGATGATGAAATAAAAATGTACTTAAAATTCCCTTTTTTTTGATGAAGACATTTTCAGTCATGTTAATCAAACTGCACTATGTTACTACTCAAATATATAAAGGATTTGTTTAAATGTAAGGTTATATTTGTGATTATGCAACAAAGGAATGGATACCTGAACCTAACTTTACTTTGGAAATTAATGTATCTTTGAGTAAAATTTGCATCTGGATTACTGATTATACACAAAGTGTAAACTATATCCATATAAAATCTTCTTTCTCATATCCTTTGGGGAAGGTTAACCACTATGTGGCAGAAAAAGGCACAAAGAAAGTAGATTTTTAAAAAATCTGATATCTAGTATCATCTGCAGCTTGCATCAATGCTTAATTAGAAGTGGAGGAAGAAAAACATACCAAGGACAACAAAATAAACATTTAGTCACAGTGCCTGATTTGAGAAAATGAAGCATTTTGATCAGTCTGACTATCAATTGTAGTGAATCTCTTACATAATATTGTGGAGATTCATACATTTGGATATCTAAAGCCTTCAACAGAACTGCAAAGCTTCAAAATTTTATACATTGTTCATCTAAACAGGAAACTTGCAGAAGAATTTGATTTTGTAACTTCTTGTTCCATAATCCAGAAATTACATTGAGCTGTTGGAGATTAGTTTTGGAGGTAGTAGGAACTGCAGATGCTGGAGAATCTGAGATAACAAGGTTTAGAGCTGGATGAACACAGCAGGCCAAGCAGCATCAGAGGAGCAGGAAGGCTGACGTTTCGGGCCTAGACCCGTCTTCAGAAAAATTAGTTTTGGTCTAGTTTAAGCAACTACACTAGATATCTGTTCTGTAGTGTGTCAGTTCCATTCACTAGAAGCAAGATTGAATCTTATTTCTATTTCTTGACTCCAAAATACATTTTAAATCAGTAAATCAGAAAGTAAGAAAGGCAAGTAAATCAGTTATATATTTGAGCCCATCTTCTGAATGTTTTGAAATTTACTCTCTCGCTCCATTTTCATGTTAGTCTTTGCGATCTACATAATCATTTTTGTCATAAGAAGTTAATTCTATGTCTTTATTATGGAAAATGATTTAATTTAAAATATTATTCATTGTTGCTTTTCTTGATTCGATTTGATTTGAATAGACAGTAATTCTGGGCAGCCTGAACAACTTCTGTTGTCTTGGTTATTCCTTTTCATAATCCTTCATGTACTTGTTGAGAACCGACATGATTTACTGGTTGCTCTGTTTGTCTTTTGCATGTACCATCTGATGTCAGAAGCTTGAACATTCATCCACTGTACAGAGCATAGTTATGCTAGAATTTTACAGAACACAGAGGTCATTCAGCCATTATTCCACTGCCAACTCATCAAAAGAACTATTATTCTCTTTAACCGTAGCCCTACATAGTCATTTTCAAGTATATATCCAATTCCGTCTTTTAAGTTTATCGAATTTGCTTCAGCTAGTGCATTCAAGATCATAACATGCTGCACTGAAAAATAATCTCATCTCTCTCTTTGTAAATTATACCCACTTGCTGCTGATCAATCGAAAAAGTTTCTCCTTCCTTAGTGGAAACAGTTATAATTTTAACATCTCTCTTAAAGCTCTCTTTAAAAGAGAAACAAAAAAAATGCTAGAAATCTGAAATTAAAATTCAAAAATAATACTCCTGTCAAACTTCTTTATTCTAGGGATAATTACTCCAGTTTCTCTATTGTCTTGGAATGATTCGGTTTGTTATGGAATTACCTACTAAAATAAGTACAGTAATATTAGTGATTATGGTACTAGCATTTGTCCAGCTGCATGACCTACGTAGAATCCTGCTTACAGTTTCAAGATACAAGCCGGTAGAGATTTAACTAGCTATGATTCCCCATTATAACAGGTAGTGAGTAGCCTAACCTACAGTCCTTACAGGTCTGCTCAGAAAATGTTCACCTGGATGAACCAAAACAATTAAAAAGCTGTCAGCATTTTGAAGGACTCTCCACTACCCCCGCCAGGCTCTGACTTGTCAACTAGCCTGACTTGGGTACCAACTTAGTACCCCTCAGGGAGCATGGGAAATATCAGCTGGTCACTGTAGAGTGCACATTATACCTTTCCTTTAAATGATTTGGGCTTCCTCCTTACAAGAACAATAGCCGTGCTACACTGATAGTTAAGATCATGCTTCATGATTCAACTAAAAACATCCTTTGGACATCAAAAAGTACCTGTACTGATTCAGTTTGTAAGATATACAGTTTTGTAGTGCTGACCGAGCACAACCCTAATCATAACAGTTTATATATGCCTTGTAAAGTAATGAAATGTCCCATGATACTTCAGAAAAGCATTATAAGGTGCAACATCAAGCCACAGAAGGAGATATTAAATCAGATGACCAAAATGCTTGGTCAAAGAGAGAAGTTTTAATGGTGTGACTTTGAAAAAGGAGACAGAGAGATGGATGGGTGGAAATCCAGAGTCCAGGACCCATGCGTTGTTGTTTTTAATAGCAGAAGAGCATCTAGCATTTATTCATCCATCTAACGAATACGTCCACAGTTAAGAATTTACTAAATGTTTGAGATTTATATATGTCTAAATTTGCTGTCTTAAGACAACTACATAATCCAGCCTGAAGGTACCAATTACTGACCAAATCAAAATTTGCTAACAGCAGGATTACAGCCCAGGACTGACCTAACTGCAGCTTGACTCCTGCCAAAGGTTCCCAAGTTTATGATATGTTATTACCTACAATTGTAAGGATACATTCATGCCATCATAACATTGTGAAATTTTGTCTGAGTGGGTGGTATTGTAAATTAGAAACACCCACTGCTCCAGCATTAAAACCCAGGTTACTTCAATTCTGGGGCCTCATTTAAATTCCACTGGCTCATCTAGGTGGATCGTCAGCACAGAGCAGCACAAAATCTACCTGCAAGGAACTGGCTGACATGTGACAATTTGGATGACTTTGGGGCCCATTATTGTCCAATTGCCAGCTGTGGACATAGCAAATATGGTTAAAGTCACCCCTGTCATTTCAGTGGTTACGTCAAAGTGACATTGATTCTGAAAATCATCAGAATCCAAAATGTAAAACTAATTAGTTGCATGTGATATTAACCAGGTTCCACTTGTTAATGATATCAATGTAATATTGGATTTTCCAAAGTTAACCTATTCCCCCCGCCCCTACTGTCTGCAGTCACTTATGACCTAGGGTGCAGGTCTTCAAGTTCTGAAAGACCCGTAAGCCTCAACTCTCATTCATAGTCTCTTTTATTTTTGTGATAGTGATTGCTTTGAGTTCCTCTCTTTGATTTTTGTCTTTGTCTTTGATTTTGTGCACTGATTGGAGTGGCATTTTGTCTTCTACTCTGAAGGGAGATGTAAAATACTCAATGGCTACCTCTGCTATTTCCTCATCTCCCATGATTAATTCCTCAGTATTGGTTTCTCAGAAATCAGTGCTAGCGTTTGAAATATGCTACAATCCAGGTTCACCCACAGTGCTGTTGGGGGAAGGAATTTTGTGATTTTTGACCAAAGGCAGTAAAATTCATAGACTTTTTTCCAACTCAGAATGTTGTGTGACTTAAGTGGGCACTTGTAGGTTGTGGTGTTCCCATGCATTAGCTAGCTGCCCTTGTATGGTGGAACTGATGGCTTTAGAAGTAGCTATTGAAGGGGCCTTGGTAAGTTGCTGCTGTGCATCTTGTTGATGGCACACATTCCTGCCATTCTGCACCAGTGGTGTTGGGAGTGAAGCGTGATTCATCCAGGCAAATGGGGCATATTCCAATCAACATGCACTCATTTCCTCCATGAAGTTTTCTCTTGCCATTCGGCACTGCTAAAAGCTACGGTTTGCACTTGGATATGTTTCCACAGAATCTAATGACACCACCCCCACCCCTGAAAAAAATAATGATTTAAAAGGCACCTAAGGGGCAACTTTTACATGTGGAGCGTGATGATTGTGTGGAATCCTGCCAGAGGAAGTGGTGGAGGCTGGCAAAATTACAACATTTAGAAGGCATCTGAATGTGTACATGAATAAGACGGGTGTAGAGGGATATGGGCCAAATGCTGGCAAGTGGGACTAGATTAATTTAGGATATCTGGTCAGCATAAGCGAGTTGGACCAAAGGGTCTGTTTTTGTGCTGTACATCTCTATGACTCAAAACCTCTCCCAAGTGTCAGGCTGTGTCATTGCACATTGTGTACTTTTCACTACTGAGGTGTGTCTACAGTGACTCATTAAGGGTACAATAAATTTTGGCAAAAGCATTAAATGGGCAAGCTTGAATTGTTGACCCATTTTACACCCAGCTGTATTTTCTTCTGGGTTTCTATTAATGGCTTTCTGTAGCTTTCTCTGTGACTTTTAGATACATAAAACTTATGCAGACAGGACTTGCTATTTATGGCAGTCATATGCATCCTTGATTACTTTTCTACCCAGGCAGGCAGAACAAGTTCAACAAGATCTTGTTGAATAGAGTTAAGACTTAAGCAATAAAAAGTTGATTTAATAACTGATTC